CTGGCAGGTGGGGTGGTGGATTCCCAAATGGCCAACTGCAATTTGAGTCCTGGACCGGGCGGCTTGCTTTCTCATTTTCTCTCTCTCTCTCTGTCCCTGTTTGGTGAAATTAAAATAAATAACGTTAAATAAAATAATTCTTTAAAAAAGAAAAGTAGAAGACTTTGTATAAATGGGTACAAGTCATTTTTTTTTTTGGAGGGGTTTTTGCTATAGAACGCATGCACTCGCATTTAGAGAGAGAGAGAGATAGAAAGTGAGAAATCACCCCCCGCCGTGGATGGCCACACCGCAATCCCTTCTCCATTTTCCTCTCAGGATCTTGGGAACACACGCACACACACCCAGCATGAGTATAAGCCACTAGGTCCGAGACTTGAACCATGGTCGACTACGTGGGAGTTTAGCGATGTAGCCATCATGCCATGTGCTGGTCCATGACTCTTTTTTTTTTTAATTACAAAATATTTATGGTATCACTATTATAAAACAAAACTGAAATAAATTACATAAGTTTTATTACAGAAAAAATTCTAATGTCTGTTTTAGACAGGACACAAAAGTTTAAAAAACATATGGCTATGAGGACCAGCAGCTGGCATAATGGCTATATTGCTGGACTCCCGTGTAGTTGACAGCAGTTTGCGTGTCAGACCAAAGGACTGTGGCATGGCTATTCCCCCTCCGAGGGTGATTTCTCACTTTCTCTCTGTCTCTGTCTGGCGAGAGCACGTGCCCTATAGCACAAAAACAAAAAACAAACACAAACACACACAAAAAAAAAACAAAAAAAAATGGCTATATTTTATGCAACATAACTTGGATTTCTTTTAAAAATTAGTGAAGAAAGGGCTACTATGGACCAGCAGGTGGCGTAGTGCTTAATGTGCTGGGCTCCCACAGTTTGAGTCCAGGGGGCTTGAAAAAGCACACAGAGGACATGTGGGTGTGTGCCCAAAGTCCCAGGAGGAAAACGGAGAAGGGACTGTGGGATGGCCATCCTCCCTCAGGGGTGATTTCTCACTTTCCCTCTCAGAGTCTCTCTTTGACTTTCTCAGCAAGCGCTTGTGCTCTAGGGCAAAACTTGAAGAAAAAAAAAAGGGCTACCACATTTGGCCACGTGACAACTCTCTCTGTGCAAGGCTTTGCTAGTCACAATTCATATATTCATTCGCTCACTCAAGATGAAGTGACCACTCCTAAGGGCTGACCACAAAAATAAACTGATTAAGCACCAGCAGTTAGCATAATGGCTATGTCGCTGAATCCCACGTAGCCGATGGCTGTTCGAGTCCTGGACCTGGTGACTTAAACTCACACCGGGCATGTGTGCATGCGTGCCCAAGATCCTGAGAGGAGAATGGAGGAGAAGGGATTGTGCCGTGGCCATCCCCCCTGGGGGGTGATTTCTTGCTTTCTATCTCTCTGTCTCTCTCTGTCTTTCTGGCGAGCGCACGCACCCGATCACAAAAACCTCTCCAAAAATAAATAAATAAATAAACCGATTAGACTACGATGATAAACTTTTGGAGAATTATTTAATTTTATTTATTTTTAGTTTAAAATTTACTATAGAGAACATGCACTAACAGGGTGTGGGGAGGGTGTAAGAAAACAAGCGAAAAACCTCTTAAACACTCAGGTAGCAAAAATCTGAGGCAGTACTTTAAACTTAAAACTTCAAAACCTACTTTGGCAGAGTTGATAGTTAAACAAAATATTCATTAAATCAGAGTCCCTATATTTATTTGAATGCAATATAACATAGGCAGATATTTAAATATTTTCACCTGAATGTTAATCATAAATAAAGTATTATAAGTCTTAAACTGAGTGTTATCACAGCATGCTAAAATTTGTTAGGAAAACTCTGTAGAATATTCCAAAGGCTTATTAGAGATTCATTTTGCAAATGCAAACAAAGGCACCTGGTAATTGTCCTGCCATCTGTTTGCAAATTCCCAAGGGTCTTTCCAGAGGAGCAAACATTGTTTTCCCAGAAGGCCAAAAAGGCATCTCTGGACTTCAAGGCAAGAGAGCCAGCAGAATGACAGTGATGAGTCTATCCCCAGGTGACCTTACCCCCTTACTGCCTTCATTAAAAAAGGGACCCACGCTCAACTTTGGTCCTTTGGAACTACAGGTAAGTGCCGAGAGAAGGCGGGCATTTCAGGTGGAAACCATGAAGAACACAGCAGGGAAGAACAGCAGATGCTCACTTAGGCATGCTGGTTAAGTCACAATTTAGAATGTGTAAATCCCGAGGGCTCACTAAACGCACATCCTAAATTGTGAAATTCTGTAACAGAATTTTTTTTTTTTTTTTCAAATTTAGACTCATCATGTGAAAATGAAAAACCAACGTGAGCCAACAATGTTGCTGACAGGAAACATCTGTGCAGTATGCTGAGTCATTATGAGTACAGTGGCCACTCAAGAATACTAGACCACACTAGTATTAGAGTACTGTGCTGGGGCCCGGCACAAGTGAAAACCAGGCACTGACAAAAAGGGACATATCACTGACAGAAAAGAACAGACTAGAAAGGAAGCTACAGCCACATCGCCTGAGGGCCAGGTAAAGAAATGAAAATATTTTGCTTTAATAGGGACACGACGGGCCAGCTAGATGGTGTGGTGGTTAGGGCAGCTGGATCCCACAGAGCCGACTGTGTGGTTTGAGTCCCAGGCCTGGTGGCTGGAAAAATGTGTGGGGGACCAGCAGATGGCGTAATGGTTACGTAGCTGGACTCCCATGTACTTGACTGTGGTATGAGTCCCAGACCTGGTGGCTTGAAATTCATGCCAGGGGTGTGTGTATGCGTAACCAAAGTCCCGAGAGAAGAATGGAGAAGGGGTTACAGCATGGCCATCCCCGCTGGGGGTGATTTCTTGCTTTCTGTGTCTCTGTCTCTCCGGCAAGCACGTGTCCTATAGCAAAAATCTCTTAAAAAATAAAAGAGCGTGTGCACACATCTGCCCAAAAGCCCAAGAAGAGATTGAAGGAAGAGGATTAGTGGTATGGTCATTCCCCAACGGGGTGATTTCTCATTTTACCTCTCTCATCCTTTCTCTCTAGCAAGTGAATACACCCTATGGCAAAATCTAAAATATAAATAAAAAGAAAGGGGACATGACGACAACCCATGTGGCAGAGATTTGATTTACCTGGTGAGTGGGGCAGAGGACAGAAGAAAGGAAATGATGATTTTCTTAGTATGATTCTAAAGTTAAAATTACAGAATGGCAGTAACTGCCAAATACCAGGAACATGATGTTTACTCTTGTGGAAATTTAAATGTTACCTTTGATATTTATTTGTTGCTCTTTAATATTTGCATGGACTAGTGGGGATTTCATCTTTAAGTCTTTTCTACCAAATGACATTTTCCTGTTTTCCCTTAATATAGTCAAAATAATGGAAGGCATTATATCCAGATGAATTCTCTTAGGCGGTGGCTTCTATTTGCTAGACTAGTTTTTGTCATTTCAGTGACTATTTCCCTAGCTTCCTATTCTTTCTGATTTTCAGCTTGTAATTTAAATTACTTCATTATGAAAAGGAAATTCAGTATGTTATTAAACGCTTAAAGTAAAGCCCTGGTACTGTAGCCTAGTAGTTAAGGAAGCCAGATCCCACATGGTCAACCATGTGGTCTGAATCCCAGCCCTGGTAGACTAAAAATCACACCAGATGTGTGAGTGTGCGCTCAGAATCCTGACGGGATGGAGAAATGGAGAAGAGCTTATGCATGACCACACCCCATTAGGGGAGTGCATTCTCTCTCCCTCTCTCTCTCTCTCTCTCTCTGGCAAGCACACATGCCCTCTGGCAATTAAGGGGGAAAAATAACTAATACACCAGGCTTAGCAAACTGGCAAGAACAATTATTAGAAGCCTATTAAAAGAGATGTTGTTATTAAGGTCCTATCTCTCAAGTTCAGAGAGCCTTAATGACCTCATTTGCAGAAATGAAAAGAGATGGCACATTTACCACCCGGCTAAATCTTCTTGCTCAATCAAAGCCGGCCTCATGACTGCCTGAAAGAAAATGTGGTTTCAAGTTCAAGCCGTGTTTCAAATCAGGGGTTTCATGTGAGGTCCGCATAGGTCTTCCACATGACCTACTCTGGTCAAAGGAGGAGCCCCACACTGCTGTTTGGTTTTGCTGTTCTTTGTTGTTGCTGCTGTTTTTCAAATGCATTTTCCTATTACAGATTTTTTTGTTTGTTTGTTTGAGAGGTTTTCACTATAGGGTGCATGTGCTCGCAAGACAGAGGGAGACAGAGAGACAGAAAGTGAGAAATCACCCCTCGGGGGGGATGGCCACACCGCAATCCCTTCTCCTCCATTCTTCTCTCGGGATCTTGGGCACGCACGCACACGCACCCTGCATGAGTTTAAGTCACCGGGTCCGGGACGCGCACCGCGGTCGACTACGTGGGAGTCCAGCGACATAGCCATTACGTTAACTGCTGGTCCCTCTATTATAGATTTAAAGCTACAAAAAATATACAAAAATGACATTTTCCTGTTTTCCCCCAATACAGTCAAAATAATGGAAGGCATTATATCCAGATGAATTCTCTTAGGTGGTGGCTTCTATTTGCTAGACTAGTTTTTGTTGTTGTTTCAATGGCTATTTCCCTAGCTTCTCAGTCTTCATGCACTTCAATGTACTTTCTTACTCATTTGTTTTCTGTCTCCTCCTGCTATAATATAAATTCCATGAGGGCAACGACTATATCCCAAATGCCGAGGATAGTGTATGGCATTGAGTAAATTCTCAGGAAATATTTTTTGAATGAAAGAGGGAAGGAAGAAACATTTACAAGTTAAAAGAAAAATGAAAATTTCAGGCGGGACCTGTACCAGTTCCTTGACTTAGTACACCATGTTTACAGGCAGGCATGACACCTCAAATACCACACTGTATTAACGTTCCAAATCGTAATTCAAATCTAAGTGAGAGCAAAGGTAAAGCAGACACGTAACTTACTTTAGAAGTCTGTAATATGCAAACCGGAACATTTCTTGGATAAAGACTGAGAGCAACACCCCAAAGATCAGCAGATATTTCTGTACCGGCCCATCTTTGTTGTGAGTAATGGCTCTTGCCATGAACCAAATGAAGGATGAAAGCAGCAGAGACCCCAACCAGAAGAAAGCTCTGAAAATTAGGAAAAAGAAAAAGTTACAAAGGAACGTAACTACAGCATTAACAATGATTTTTAAAAAAAATTCTGCTTTAGAAGGGACAGATTTCCTGATATTTTAGTAAAGAAAAAAAATATCCTCATAAAGTGATGCTTTGGATCAGCTGTTCTTAATCAGTGGTACATTTTCCCTGATAAACAGATAGTTCAGGGCCAGCAGGTGGTGTGGTGGTTAAGGGTGCTGGATTCCTACATGGCTGACCATGGTCTGGGTCCTGGACCTGGTGGCTTGCTTTCTCACTTTCCTTTCTCTCTCTCTGTTTCTGTCTGGTCAAATTTAAAAAAATAATAATAACAAATGGAATTAAATAAATAATACTTAAAAAAAAAAAAAACAGTCCAAAGGAATGTGACATTTTCCAACAACTTTTTCAGCAACCCTATTTGAAAGTGCACTGCAAACTCTGTCAAGGACTGTCTAGTTGGAAATTTGCTTATTTGATAGTCTTCCTAATCAATGCTTTGCCCAGGGATATGCCACAACAATAAAATATACAACCTGTGATAACCATAATTTTTCATATCCTTAAAACCTACCAGAAATTACTGCTTTAATGGTCTTGTCTGTAATGTTAAGTGCTTTTTCCAGAAAAAATGTCTACATCTCTATTAACAGCATAATGATCTCTATTAACACAGTGAGAGTTCTAAAAGCCAGACATTGAAAACCTGTGCTCCCTCTAGCTCAGATTGCCAGGCCAGGCTCTTAAAACATTGCTGAGCATTCTTTTTTTTTTTTTTTTTTTCTTAGAATTTTTTAACTTTATTTATTTGACCAGAGAGGGACAGAGCAAGAGAGAGGAAAGGAGAAAGCAAGCCACCAGGTCCGGGACTCAAACCATGGTCGGCTATGTGAGAGTCCAGTGCCCTTAACCACCACACCACCTGCTGGCCCCATCACTGCTGTGGATTCTAATGATTCCAGCAAGCTTTACAGACCTTCAGCCCAAATCTCTTATTGTTTTAAAAATAGCATATGCTAAGTAGCACTTTCAATATGGTTGTGGACAGTGAAGAGGCTCAAAAAATGGAAATCACTAGCCTCATCTGGTGCCAAGTGAGCCTCACCAGGGGAAAGGGAACGTAACCTGTCACAGTAAGAGCAGCCAGACGATGACATCGGGGTTACGAGCACATGTGCCACCAGAGTTCTGTTTTTACAAGACCCTGAGAAGATGCTCGGTCAGGTGCTTCACTGTTTTCACACTCGGCTGCACAGCTGACTCACCGGAGGGCTTTACAACACACCCCCTGGACATTCTGAGTCGGTTAACGCACCTGTTTCCAGGTGATTCTAACTGGCAGGCGGGGAGAACCACTGTCCTAAACTCCAACGGTTCTCTACCCCTTGGGGATTACAGGTCCCTTCTTCAGAATCTAAAGGAAATTAGGGACATCCTCTCCTGAAAAAATAAGAGCAGGGTCTTCAAAAGTTAGTGCAGCATGGAATTAAACGACTTTATCGTGGTGCAAAATTTCCTGAAAGCCATGCGTTTTTTCATGCCACGCATTTTCCATGACCTTTTTGAAGATCTCTGCTATGAATTTACCCCCAATTTTTCTCACAGCTTCAGTGGCATCACAACCCACTGAGTCTTCCCCCAGACTAAGGCAAAGCTCTTAGCCAAGAATAGGGGGACAGGGTATGACCCGCACAAGGGGAGCTCCTCCTTCAGACCCGCCCCCGGGGTCTCGGGAGAGCGGGGTCCCGCTCATCCCCTCCAGCCTTCTCCTATCCCAAACGCAGCAGGGTCGAGCCCCCCGGAGGGGCGCCCGGAGCGCGGGGGCCGCCGTGGGGGAGGGGAGCCCAGCGTCCGCGCTTCCCGGCGCGACCGCCTCACCCGGCGATGAGGAAGATGATGCGCAACGGATCCGTGGCGATGGTGAAGACGTAGAGGGCGAGCGCAGGCCCGAAGGCAATGAAGGC